TGTCCATTGTCCCCAGAGGCAGGAAGCAGGCCCACCCGTGGTGGGATGAGACAGCAGTCTGGCAACTGATTGCCTTCAGGGGAGGGAATGCCTGTGCATCTGACCTCCCCCCACACTCTGAGGTCTCATCTTCATCTAGAACCCTTTATCTAGAGGCTGCTAGAATCCACTCAGTGGCAGTGGTTCAGCTAGTGGAAGGCTTTACACAAAAGTACATCTACTCACTCGAAGTTGGACACATACACACCCAGCTGAGGTTAGAACGTCAACCTTACACACTTTAAATGTAATGGGTTGTTCTGGTCTCTCACTAACAAACAAGAGCCCTTTACCAGTATCCGGAGGCTTGTTTATCAGCATCGTGTGCATGGCCAAAATATTGGGTCCAGTGAAGCACTCCACATATTTCAGAATCTAAAGGGGAAGAAAAAAGTAATAAACCTCAAGGGAATTCCGAGGCACGGGCAAGCAGCATTGTCTGAGCATGCAGCTAGCCATGCAAGGCCCAAAATCACAGTGCCAATCATTTCTAAACAAGTGGTAATGCACACACTGTAAAAAAAAAATCGTGAAAAAAGGCGTCACTCATTGGAAATCCTCAGACATGTAATCTCGCTGTTGTAGTAGTCTGAGTTAGGTAGCGGCTTGTGAACCGGCTGGGTACACAATCAGTCCTTCTACAAAGACGTGACTGTCTGAGACATCAGGGGAGGGCAGGAACCGCTCTTTCACCAAGGAGAGAGCGAGTGGCTCAATGAGAAGGCTGTCACCTCCTCCTTCGTGGACGTCTCTCGCTCGTTGAAGAGGCTGTGGAAGGACACGCCGCTGTCTGCAGCTCTCATAAGCAGCCCAGAAGAAAGCAGAACAACCAGTGTGGACATTGATTCAAGTCTTTACTGAAGTCCGGTTCTTGTATGATACAGTCAATGTTGCTAACCAGCAGGTTGGCAGTTCGATTCTACCCAGAAGCATCTTGGAAGAAAGGCCTAGTTCTACTTCTGAAAAATTAGTCATGGAAAAGCCTACGGGGTTAGGATATGGGGGCCAAAGGTATGAAAACATCTCAGACATGAGATGAGGAAATGAGACGCTGAGCCTGGAGGCCCAGGACCATAGTCTTGGGAGATGCCACAAGCGGCATATCATAATCCACAACGATAAAGTTCTCCGTCCCCCTGTGGTGAGTGGAGACTGGGACCTTAAAAAGCCTGCGGGTGCAACTTTTGGTCTCAACCCATCTGGAGGAAAAAGAAGTCTGATGAAAATCAAAAGGGAGGTGGAAACGATCAGTCAAATGGACCCATGGGTCCCTGAAACATCAGTCTCCACAACCCAGACACCGAAAGAACTAGATGGTGCCCAGCTACCACTACCAACTGCTCTGAGAAGTACCACAAAGTCGTGGATACAGTGCTGTTCCCAAAACGTGGAACAGAACTGAGAATTCTAAAACAGACCAGGCTCGCTGGTAAGAGACCAGTGGAAGTCCCTTAGACTATGGTCCTTAGTGCTCCTTCAGGTCTAAACCAGAATTCACCCCCATGTTAAAATCATCAACCATTTCAAGTCAAAAGGGCAGTATTCCCCCCAGGGTGAAGTTTAGAGGATTCAGAAAGACAGAGGGAAGGAAACAGTGAGCACAGGGAGGAAGTAGCACAGTGTAAGGCAATGGATGAGCGGAAATAAAATGTGTAGGAACTGTTCAATGTCAAACAGATGGTCTCCTCTACAAACCTTCACCTTTCACAATAAAATGCTTACTTAAGAAAAGAAGTAGGGGATTCCTATCGGGCACAGTAGTTCTGCTCTGACACATGAGAAGCGGCATCACCGTCACCTCAATGGCCACAAGTGTGGCTGCTCTGACCCACGCAGAGGGACAGGAAGTGGGGTGAAACAGAGGCTGAGAGCCCCGCCCTCCTGGCTGTCTAGTCCAGCGAGAAGGAAGATGTTAAGCAAACCGGCAGGGACAGCTGCAGAGCGGGCAGGTGACACAGACGCGGGCTTCATCACAGGATCTGGAGGCAGGGTGACCCCTCTCACACATCAAACCCCGCTCAGGAAGAGAGAGAACATGCTGGGAGCTTTATATATCAACCTAGGAAGTCTTGAGATCATGGTCTTTTTGCACAACTACTGAGCCCTGCTCGATGTACCCCAACTTGACCCCCCCACCCCCATACTTTCCTAAAGTGTGTTACTGCCATTACATACACAAATAATGGCCCCGTTAAATACACAAATACGCCTGGGGGTCATAAGTGGTCCAAGCTGCCAGTCAAATGAAAAAGAAGGCACCCAAATTCAAATGTTGCCTGATTCCAGAAATCAAGGCACACTCTACTTTCTCCAGTCTGATTTCTTGTGCCTACAGAATGTAATTTGAGGCCGTTGAAGTGCTATAAACATCCTCGTACGGGCTCAGTAACTGCACTTTGGTTGTGACGGCCCACAGCAAGCGGTAGGACCGTCGTTTTCTCTCTCGCTCACAGAATCCCCCGGCTTTCACATGGAGGATAATTCTCAACTTCAGGGAATCTCACGAGTGACACCTGACATTGGGGACTGGACAAATCTTGGCGGTGGTGGTAGGAGGGGTTTCCGAGGCATCGAAGCTCCCTGTAACCTGGTATCTAACCACTGGATAGAGCCTGGGAGTCTCTAGACATTGTCAATGGGCCCCTGGGGAGCACAGGGGACAAGCCAACTGGGTGGAGAAGCACAGCTTTAGCCATGTAGACAGGGATAGCATTAAAACATCGGCGTCTCCAGGCTCACAGACAGACAGACAACTCAGTTAGGTAGACACAAACCTCGGGGAGGGTGCAGTATCTGAAGAGTTCTTCGTCTTCTTGGAAATCTTGGACCTTTGTAATGGCTTTTTCACTTGGGACAAATTCTGATTTTGCAAGGGCCACATCTCTCATGACCGTTATTCCCATTGGTTTCACCTCCCGTTTGCAGATTCTTTCAAACTCGTCCCTAGAAAATTAAGTTTGCCAATGACGTCAGCACCGCTTGCCTGGCCCTGTGCCTGGGGGGGCCTCCACCCCGCAACAAAAATCACTTCGATGGGAGGCAGGAGAACATGGCCAGCTCTCAAGTCCTGGCCTCCTGACTGTCCGGCTGGAGTTTATTCCAAAATTAAAACCATTCTCAGCCGGAAGATCAGTGAAGTACTTGTGAGCCAATCACATCATCGTGACACATCATCATAGCAAACATGCACACAGTGCTTACCGAGTCCATGGTACACCATACACACTTGACCTCAGTTAGTCTGAACAACAGGACGTGGGTTTACATGCTGAACTTTCACTAGCCCATTGTATGGATGAGGGAGTAGAGGATACAGAATGCTAAATGGGGGAGCTATAAGCAGTCAGGCTGTCTGCTTTGGGAATTCATGCTCTCGCCCATGTCCAACTATCCAACCATTAAAAAGAATTTTGAACATGCCCAAGCTAATCCGCCTTTCATTCCCCTTGTATATTTATTTCTGTGAAATAATGAAGGGTTAGTTACCTAAAGCGTTGAATATCAGCATCAGATACCAGATTTTTAATGACAAGATATCCATTTTCTTCATAAAATTGCCTCTGCTCCAGGCTTAGGGCGTTATTATCCAGTGTATACCTAAAGGAGAAAAAGAGAGATGCCACAAATAATTCCAGTTTTTAAAATCCCAGCGCATAAAATGTATTAAAAACTTGAAACATGTATATACTATTCTACCCAGCATTTCTAGTCTAAGATTTAATTCTAAGGAAATCATCTGAAAAATTGAAAAACATATTAAGCTCAAAGTATGATCTCTGGTCACCTAAACATGTGCATTAAGGGAAGAATGATTTGATTACAGCCTAAGAAAGCCTTGTGGGCAGTTCCAGTCTATTCTAGAGGGCCACTGTAAGTCAAAATCAACTCGATGACACAAAGCAACAGCCGCAATTATATGATGTCTGTTCAATGAAATATGACTCAGGCATGGAAAATGGACAGCATAAAACAGCATGCTCAAATATGATTACAATTATTTAAAACAAAGGCATTCTTTGTAGGAAAAGTTACAAAGAAACACACCACAATATTTTAACAGTGATTGCCTGTCATTAATTATATTATAATTTAAAACAAAAATACTTCTATTTCTCCAATTTTTAAATTGTATGTACACATAATATGTATGATCTTTCATATGGGAAACAAATTCGATTAATTCTGGGTTTTGTTTGTGTGTTGTTTTAGAGTCTGATGCATTCTCAGAAGCAATCAGAGTAACAAAACCTAAATACTTGCACAATATATGAGAGCTTAAACTCTGAAGCACTTTGTGTGCGGAAAGGAGCTGTAGTGCCCCTGTCGGGTCAGCGTTGGACTGTTAACCACAAGGTTGGCAGTTCAAACCCACTAGCCGCTCCAAGAGAGAAAAATGAGGCTTTCTACTCCCATAGAGAGTTACAGTACGGGAAACCTACCAAACCAAAACCCCCCACCACTGTCAAGTTGATTCCGATTCATAGTGGCCCAATAGGACAGAACAAACCTGTAAATGTTCAGCATTTCCAAGACCACAGATCTATTATAGTCTTGGAACAGATCAAGTTATCTTGCAGGGAACGGCTGGTAGGTTTGAACTACTAAATTCAAGGTTAACAACCCAACGCTTAACCTACTACATCATGAGGATTCCCTCCCTAATGCCTACAGGCCTTTAAACACATTTCATCTTCCAGGTAAAGAAATGCTGTTCTTCGTGGTGGCAGATGCCAGGCATCGGCGTGCCTAAAGGTGACATCAGCATTGTGGAGCACGGGCAATGGCCCAACAGCACCACCGCCACCACCCAAAAAGCACTGTCCCAGCAACTGGGAACCCAGCCTAGGAAACCCTAGGCTGCAGTAACCCTATAAGAAACGTGTTCTGCCTCAGGTAATTGCTTTGACTTCTTGTGTCCCATGCAGTTCATTGGTCTCACTTGCTTCAAGCCTTAATAACCCTCTTGACTGGTGCTTTGATCAGGGGAGGAGTCTGCGATGCTCAACATTCACTGGTGTCGGAAGTGAGGTCTGAAGACTTCTGATCTGACCCTGCAGAGCCATGAACCCAGAAGCCCCAGCCCCAGCAAGAGCCCAAAGTACTCAGTCTGCCTCATCTCTAGGTAAACGCCCGCAGATCAATCCTCCACAGTCCTGTCACTGACAATGGCACACCCGAAAAGCTCCAACCTAGTGGTTCTCAACCTGTGGGTCACGACCCTTTTGGGGGGTCGAATGACCCTTTCACATGGGGTTGCCTGATTCATAACAGCAGCAAAATTACAGTGATGAAGTAGCAACGAAAATAATTTTGTGGTTGGGGGGAGGGGGGTTCACCACAACATGAGGAACTGTATGAAAGGGTCACGGGGTTAGATAGGTTGAGAACCACTGCTACAACCACCCAATCCACTTCTTTCTATTTGAATTGTGAATCTCTGAGAATATTCCATGGAAACCCAGGGCTTCCTCCTTGAAAGGAAATTTAAAATGTACCAAATGTAAGAAGGCACAAGCTCATATTTAACCAAGAAAGCTCCACTGGGCAGAGCTTTCGTAGTATGCATTTTCCACACTCAGCTAGCATCCAGCAACTCACTCTGAGTTAGCGCACCCAGTGGTGTTGCCTGGGAAGGTTCTCTCTGGTCACAGTGAATTTTTTCCTAAAAGCAGTTTCCCTTGAGCCTCCGTTTTTGGTGATGGGCGATTTAAGAGAACAGCATGCAGTTGTGAAATTTTGTTTCTTGCTGGGAGGGGAGAGCCACAGAAACTGCTGTGATGTTGAACACAGCTTATAAGGACAGCACTCTGGGAAAAACTCAAGTGTACGAGTGCTTTTCTCGTTTTAAAAAAGGGGAAACGTCAATTGATGACAACCTCATTCTGGACATCCGTCCACTTCCTGAACAGACAAAAATGTCCACAAAATTCACGTACTTATGCTCAAAGACTGACAACAACGGACCATTGAAGAGATAGGGAAGTGATCTGGACTAACTTGGAGCTCGGTTCAGTGAATTGTAACAGAAGATTTGAGGACGTGAAATGTGTGCCTTGGGTTCTGACTGAGGAGGAAAAAGAGTGTTGGATGGAAACATGCTGTGCTATGAAAGAATAACTGGGAAGCAACCCTGACTTTTTTCCCAAGGTCATTACTGGTGACAAGACATGGTGCTAGCCTCACAACCCCAAAAGCAAACATCTATTAAGTCAGGGAAAATGCCATTATCAATCACCTCATCCAAAAAAAAGCTCATCTCTAGTGAAATCACAGATCAAGATAATGCTCAATTTTTTTTTGAAGTGAGGGGGATATTGTGTTTGGACTTCATTCCACCAGGTCAGGCTGCTGATCAAGCTTTCTACTTAGGGGTTCTGAAAAGATTGTGTGACAGTGCGCAACAAAAAAGGCCTGATTTGTGGCAGATATGGAATGGGTTTTGCCACCATGACAATGCACCCATTCAAGCAGCCATCTCAGTGTGCCAGTTTTGGGCAAAAACCAGCATGCCTCTCTTGCCCCACACACCTAACTCACCTGACCTCACTCTGGGAGACTTCTTTTTGTCTCCACGAATGAAGAGGGACATGAAAGGATAGAGATTTGAGGATGTAGAAGAGGTGAAGAAAAAAGACAAGGAAGGTGCTGTCAGCTAACCAGATGTGTTTAGAAAATATTCCCAAGAATGGAATCTCAGATTTGACAAATATATTAAGTGTAGTGGAGAGTACTTTGAAGGTGATAAGGTTGTTTTTTCTAAAAAAAATTAAATACATAGGTTTGGGGAAAAAATCCATTTGTGGGGAGAGGAGATATCGCCTTCTATATCACGCCTGTGTGCATTTTTAAATATCTTGGGTTTTTTTCCCTTCTCTCTGATTTTTAAAATATAAATAGAAGATAGAAGTCTGAGGCGTCACAGTTTTACAGCTGTACTACTTTAGAACAAGTCCTGGGAACTGAGGCTTGTATAATAAATTCTAATCAGGCAACACGATCCCGGTCGTATCGAAAACTTTTACATCCACAGACAAGTGAAAAATTAAAATGAGATTTGACTTACTGGAATTGTTGACGAGGAAAGCTGGCAGGAGCTACGTCCCCTGAAGTGGGGTGAGCTACCTGGTTTAAGGATTAAGGCAAAAAAGTAAAACAGAAGAGCCCCCTTTCTAGAAATAACAATCTGCCTCTGTTTGGATCGTACCAGGAAAGACTGTGGCAGAAACCACATCTGCCCAGGCAGCTTTATGTATCACCACTTGTGCCCTGCCACTTACAGCCTGTGACTGCCATCGCTTTCTCTCATCACAGACTGAGGCCAGGATGGGAAGACAGGGCTTTCTAATCACACCCAGGGGACAAAGAACAGAACCTAGGTAGGAGGGTTAAGTAGCTGGGCAAACATCATCCAGCAAGAAATTGGCTGAAGATGTAGTGAAGTTAAAATGTACTATCTTAAGAAAATAAGAAATAAAATAAAATGTACTATCGGTTTGATCTCCCTTTTCTTCCTCCAACAGTTTTATCGGCAAGTAACATACAGATCATGTAAGTCAAGAGCTCAATCATTCAGTCACATTCAGTCACAATCAGCCCCACATCAGGTTTAGAGGATCCCTACCCCTCCACCACCACCCCCATGGTTAAATCGCCTCTGAGATGAATTATGTAATCACAATCCGTTCTAGTGCTCTCTCCCCTTACTGAATTCATTATTTACTCAAAATCCCCTTACCCTCCCTATCATCCACCCACCCCTGTATTCCTTATAGCCCCCTGTATCAGTTATTATCAGCATGCATCCCACTCTTCCTGGGCTTCACAGCTGAGAGATCCAACAGACAA